TCCTGCATAGAGCCTGCTTCTCCTTAGTAAAGTTGGGGGGGGGGGGTGTTCTTAATCTAGTAGGAACTTAAGAATAAAATCATGCAGCTACCTCAGTGTCCTCCCTGATATAGTGATGAGATAGTACATGTTCTTGTCTTTATTCTCCAGAAAGCAGTTGTAGCCACTTCAAAAAGAACAATACACTAAGCTCCAAGCACAGTCCCCTTTAATGAAAGATTATACTGAAAAATTAACTCCACATCCAAGATGATGTCAGTTTTCTGTGCTTGAATAACTTAACAGTGTTCTAGGGTTTTTTTTCTCCTGCTTTTTCATTAGCAGCCTTCTAAACATTTCTTTCTTTGAGTTCTTTAATGTGGTGCATGTAATTTAGTAGTGGTCAAATAGGAAAGTGCGGTGTTAGCTTATGATTATAACAAAAAGGTAAAGAATCTGCTTCTGGGAGAGTAGTTGCACTTCCCAGTCTCCACCTCCGGGAGGCACCACACACACACACACACACACACACACGCGCGCGCGCTCCAAATATCTCTGTATAAAGGAGGCCCAGATTGCAAGTGCTAGGGTTTCTTCCTGTTGGGGATGCAGGATTTTGCAACCAACCAGTCAAATAAAGGAAGAGAGAAAAAAGCAAAGCGCAGTGTTCAACCTGGGGTTTCAGTGCCACTTAAAGACTGAGCCAAGAAGCAGCAGGAAACTGAGGGGCTGTCTTCCTGCTAGAACTACACAAGCTCACTGGGTAGAAGCCACTGAGAGAGGCTAAAAAGAACTTAGGGTTTGGGGGATCTTGTTCAGCATCCAGAGCTGACATCCCTGTGTCTTAATGTTCTTGGAAGGCACCACTAAATTTAAAATACAGGAGTACATTTGGTGTTTAAGTTGTTTTTCTTTCAAGCCCAGAAATGATACATTTATCACTAATTAAACAATAATTGCATTATGGAGTAATGAAAAAAAATGCTTATAGTATAAATAATATCCGACAAAGCTTAAAAAGAAGGAATATTTTTTCCAAGTTCAAATTTGTTGAAAGAAACTTGAGTGTTTTGAAACAAAATAAGTCTTAAAATATAAAAGGGATGTTTTACAGTCTTACGTTTAGCATCCTGAAAGCAGAAAAAAAGAAAAACATAAGTGGTAATAAAGGTGTTTTACACGGCAGATAAGTCAGTATCTTCAGGATCAAATTGTTTTTGAACTCCATAAAAGAGTTTACTATTAAAATGAATCTTGTGGAGAATCCCCCTTTTAAAAGGGAAGTTAAAAAAAATAAAAAATAAAAAAATAAAAGAAAAAAAGGGAAGTTATTTTCTGATAAATATAGTCACCCTTTAATTATACCAATAAATCACCACAGGGGCTTCTGCCGGCCCTCCCCAAGCTTTGGAGAAGTGGGCCAGACTGCTGGCTCCTCTTACACTGGAAGGCAAGCTTCTCATCAGCTGTTTCTTCTTGAACAGAATGACCATTCCTGAGTAAAATATTTAACTATCTTAAAATAGACCATGAAAGAGAATCTGTTCTAGGCTTCCTAAACTTCATCTTGTCTCTTACCTCCAATTTTCCTCTTTATTTTTTAGATAAAAATATCTATGAAGGATGATAAATTTAAAAAGCTTGAGAACTTTTCTGTTTCCTCACTGACTTTTGTCTGCGAATTACCTTGACTTATAGTACAATTTCCCTTTCTGGTTTATATTTTCTGTCTTCTTCCCACCTCTCCTCCCCCCATACACACAAGGAATCAGAAAACGGTAGAGGAAAGATTTCTTCCATGAGAATTTTTTTCTTCCATGTTCTCAGGCCTCTTTCAAGTGATAAATGGCTTGTAATAATCCTTGATGAATTGGGATGAAAATAGATTAGGTGTCAAGGGCACAGAGTGGGCATGGATGTTATCTGTACAGTTGGCCTCTCTCTCACCTTTTGCCCACAACACAGGCCGAGAGTACATGGCCACTGCACGTTTCTTCTGTGTTGACTTCGACCCCTCGTTTTGTTGAGGGCTGAGAATGGGCTGTCCTAGGCAGAGAGAAGATAAACAATACATTTCTGGGTATCTGTGGGAGATGGGAAGGGGATGCACACCCAACAGAATAATCTGGTCCATAAGAAAAGGAAGCCAGAGTCCAGAGCTCTCCATCATCATCTTCTGTTCATCCTCCAACACTCAGTGAAAGGATTGGGGGTGGTGTGAGGGCAGGGGGAAAGGGGCAAACGCGTGTTACTGATGGCCTCTTGGCGACATTGTTTCCTTAGACTTGAAATCATCTGTACATGGAAATTGTGAAGCCAGATGGAGAAAAGCAGAGTTTGAGAAGGAACAGATTTTGGTAGGATGGAGAAAAACAAACAGATGGAACCCAAGAAAGTTTTTCTCTCCCTCATTTTTACAGGAAGATAATTGCCCCTATTGTAGGGCTTTAGAGCTAGGGTTCCAGGCTCTGGATTGTAGAGTAGCCTGTGGTGAGTTACTGTAGGGTCCCATTCTATAAATAAGACAGGCCACAGAGGGGTTAATTTGGCTCCTCCCTCACAAGGATGCTGTAAAGACTTAGGGGGCTGAACATTTATGGCTTCCAAAGAAGCATAATTTAAGACTTTAATTCTATTTGGAGGATTCTCTTGATAAGAAAAAGCAGCTTAAGTGTGCTTTTGTGATTTGATGTCACTAAGACACATGCTTGGGCTGTGAGTACTCCAGGCTTCATGAGGGGGACTCCCTGACCCTGAAATTATGTGCTCGGGAAGTGTAAAGAGTCTCATTTTAAAAACCATCAGTAAAGTCTGTGGGTGAGAAGAGCTGTTCACAGCTCTGGGGCAGCAGGAAAACTGGTTTTTAAATCAAAGTCTCTGCCACTGCTGTTTCAGCAAGGTTCCATACCTCCTGGCACGTTATCTGTTGTAAAAGCTAAAATGGGTTGTAGAAGCAGGCTGAGAGCAAACAAAAGTCTGAAATATTTAAACAGAAGGAAATCTAAGTAGAGTCCATTGGCATGGAGAGAGCAGGCGTTTCCACATGTTCTGGAGACATTTAAATCATTGGATTGAGTGGTTTTGATAAAAAAAACATTGCATAAAATAAAAGTATGTCCAAACTTAGTCCTTTCTTAACAAACTGAGTTAAAACATTCTTTCTTCTCCCCCTTTATTTTCATGGCAGCCTATTCTACACATTGGATTATCTTTTCATTGGCCATTTAGAAATCCCTGTAATGAGTATTGAATGATTTTCTGTTAGCATCCAATTTACATAGTGGCTCTGGATTAGTTAGATCATTTGGATCAAAAGGAATGGTTCTGTTTTACCATTTTCAATTTTGGTTTTCTATCCGTGCATTTTCGGGCTCTGGTGTGTCTGTCTGCTTGTGGGCATGTGACAGTGTTGTTCGGTCTTAAACACTTAAGGGGCATATTGTCCATCTATGAAAGTTTGAAAAAATTTTGGCAAATTTGATGAATCACTGTAAAACATAACAGTGTGCTTTTCGTTTCTTGTTTGATTTTTTCATTATGAATACATAGAAACATTTATGATATTTTCTGGGCATTTATCCAGTGACCTCTTAATAACTGTTATTATTTACCATGGGTCCGAGACACAGGGAGATTAACTGACTTGCCTGAGATCAAAGCCAAGAAATAATTTGCCTCTCTTCTGTTAAACCATGTTCCTGCCAAATTATTTCTTGAGTACATAATGAATTTACCTATGAGAATTTTTAGTTGATTTCTTTTAGATAAAAATGCATGTCAGTGAATGATTAGGGAAGATATGTTACTCTACATGAAGAGTAGCAATTTATAACTTGCAAAGCACAAATCTTTTTCTTTTAGTAATTAAAAGGAAATCTTCCCTTGCTTTTGACAATTGGCAATGTTCTTGTTTGGAGCTGGCCGTGACAGCCTGTAGTGGCAGTTTGTGAGCACTAGATGGCACACGTTTAATGTTACAACTCAACACTGGCACAGACAGGAGAGTGGAAAGGAAAATCCATGGAAATAGGCTCCATTCTTTCTTCAGCATGGTCCAGAAAACTTGAGAGGCAAAACACATCCTTTATTCTTCTTTTCTTGTTGAGGGAGGGATGAAAAAATGTTTACCAAAGCTGGTCATATCAACTGCAGTAGGACTCAAAGAAATACCCTTGTAGAGCTTAATCGACTCACAATTGGATGCTAGAAAATCTCTGTTTCAGAACACAAATAGCATTTCCATATGGCTTAACCTTATGCTTTGAGCTCTGGCTGAAAAGATAGAGAACCTGAGTCAGGCCCACTGAAGCCCCACCTATGCCACAGTAGGTCAGCTTCTGCAGATTGAAATCATCAAAACCATCACAAAAATATTCACAGAATAAATTAGATTACTTTTCTTGTTCAAGATGATGGTATCTATATTTTGTTTTCATTACCTATTTTTACATCCTAAATAATTTGGTGCTAAATTTATAGTGCACTGGATGTGATATTATTTAGTCCAAGATGGTAGTAGTCACTACTTTTCTCAATAATAATTCTAAATCACTATGTACTCATTGCCTAATAAGAATAAATGAAAAGATAGCAAGTCCAGACCTGACCTTGAGGCACTACTGGGCCATGGGGGGTGGTCAGACACATGGGCACATGGTGTAAAACTAGTAACATAGGCAGGCTCTGCCTTCACTACAATATGTTGGTGAAAGGTATTTTTACATTTCTCGTGATCCTTGTTGACTTTTTCTTATATTGGCCTGTTGGAGAAAATGTGGAACATAAAGGAGTATAAAGGGGAAATAAAGCTTGATCATAATCTCTTTGCCCCAGGAGAACCAGCTTTTGTTCGTAATGCAAGCTTTTGCACTCATGTTGTTTTTTTTTCTAACCCAAAAGAATATGCCCATTTTCTAGACACCAGGAGTTCTAGACAACTTATCTCCCTGATAATAAACAGCCATATATTATCCTTGAAATGCTTCTCTTATTTTACTTTCTTTGGGTTTCTTCCTTTACAGCCTGAAGCAGCCTGCCACCCTGCCATATTCAGAATTGTTGATGAAATGTTCAGGTAAATGATGTGCAATTTCTGCTAATAATCGATCTAGAAGTGCTCAGTTTCCAAACATGAATAAAAAGTTTTGTGGTAGTCTCTGTCTATACCATCGGGAAGTTAGTTTCTGATTCCATCTTACTCCTTTGAGCTATTTGGTAAAATCTAAATGTCAGTTTGTATTTATAAGTCAATGCCTCGGAAATAAGATAACTTTCTTTTTTTAAGCATTTAAAATTCTAATAATATTGGTAGAAAGGCAAAATTGAATTAGTAAATCATTAAATTTTCATGTAGGATTTTTCTCAGCTCAAAATAAAGCATAGCAGTGTATTCCCTTCACCACATGAGGGCTGACCAATCTGTTTAAAGGATTTTAAAGCTAAGGGAAAACCAAGAAAAATAATGCTGTTCTCAAGAGAGCTCTTCTGAAAGGCAAAATCATCTATGTGTGTTATCCTACAACACGTTAATTTTGCAAGTGTGAATACTTCTTGTAAAGTCCATTGGATTTACAGATGATGAGAGATGAGAAACCACTGGATACCAGATTGGGTTATGGCTAGCAGTTAGTAGGAGCTTGTTACCCAGGAATGGTCTCCAACCCTTTTCCTGAGTGCTGGTGCAGCCAGGGTACTTAACCTCACCTATCCATCCTCCTTGCACACAGCAGTAGAGCCTCCAGGGATAGCAACACTGGGGAAAGGAATTTTTACAACAGTAAATAACCCAGCCCTTGAGTTGGTCTTGAAACATACCAACTTCAGGGTAAATAAATGAACACAAGAATAAGTCAGAATGATGTTCTTGGTTTAAAGTGAGCAAAGTTTGAGTTGATTTCTTTTGTTTCAACATAAAGTTAGTTGTATGAAAATATGCAGAAACCAATCCAGGTACCACACAGAATTCTTCCACCACTTCCCTGGGTAGATTTGACCAAGGCATTTTACCCCCTTGGGCAGCTCTTTCTCCACTTGAAAACATGAAGGGTCTGTTGATTTTGCATGCCTGGGCATTCAATGTGCGAATATTTCTAAAGAGCACTCAGGCCTATATGGAAGGGATATGCAATGCTTAATAATTTAAAAACCAAGAAAGGAAGCTCTGCAGATTGCTATTTTAATTAAAGTATTTAGAAAAGGAGTGACAGCTTTCTCCTACTTTCACACAAGGACTGAAATCTAATGAGCTAAGATATTGCTGAACCTTATGGCACAAAAAGAATGTTTCCATTATTTCCTTTTACAATTCAGGCTCAAATGTTTGCCAGATTAATCATTAAATGTGTTGTAATCTGGCTTTGCATTGCTCAGGTATGTACTCCTGGAAACCGATGGAGCCCCAGAGGTACTAGCCGCTATTCAAGTGTTTACACAGTGCTTTGTGGAAGCTCTGGAAAAGAAAAACAAGCAGGTTTGTTATATTGCATATATTATTCATTCCCCCAAAGAAAAAAAAAGGCTGTTAAGAATATCTATCTAGGTAATCACAGAAAGGAGCACTTTATTTTTAGTGATTTTGGTAGACTCTTTTGCTTATGAAGAAAGCTTCCAAATGAATGCTCTAGCAAAGGTAAAACTATTTTAATTGAAAATAAATCAGGATAGTTCCTATCTGCCCTGTGCTCTGGTACCCAGAAGCATTTTTCTGCTCTTGTGTAAGAGGACTGTCATGCTGGCATGTGCCACCCTGGAGGATGCATTTTCCGGGCCCTGTGTTGTATGCTGTCTGCCAGGGAGGACTCTGCCCTGCCTGGGCATTGTGGAATCTATATGGCATATACTAAGAAGCAAATGCCACACATTACAAAGCAATTCTGGACATTCTTAATTACTAGAGTTTCCCTGCCTAGCTAGGAGATACCCAAATATGTATTGGTTTCCAGGAAAGAAAGGATCTACTGAGAGTGACAAGAGATTTGAATCATTGTAGAGAAGCAGCTAGGAATGTCAGTGTCAGACACAATCAGTGAACAAGAAACTAGTTATGGGGGCTGTAGGAAGACTTGTACTGAGGGGCCCCATCAGCAGAGGCCAGACAATGGCTGCCAAGGGCTGAGGACCAATTAGAGGGACCTTGTGAAACAGGAAGCATTCCTACCAGAGCTTTCACTTTCGGGCATTTTAACTGACCTATTCTGTGTGTGGTGCTTTGCCTGTTCACATCCCTGGGTCCATTGCAACTTCCCAGGAGGTAGGCCATGGTCCCTTATGATGCTTTCCACAGCCTGACATAAGAGAGCAGTACTGTGATGCTTAGCTCTGCTACAATCCCTTATACCCCTACACCAGAGAAATCTCTCACATTTTAACAGATGTTTCCACTTTTTAAGGCAATCATAAATATTTATAATGTATTTTCTCCCATCCTTTTTCCTTAAGGAGGTTAACTAGACTGTAGCAAACCATGTTTCAATGGTACCCAGCCTGGAATTCATAAGGAGAGCTCTGCTGAAAGGCATTGGTTGGCCTTCACACCTATTTTGAGGCATAACCTATAAATATCTTTTATCCTTCCTTGTGCATTATTTGTATTCCCAGTTAGGGACCAACCTCTGGAAAACCTGCCCCTTTAACTCCTAAAAACACCTAGGCTGGGGCCAAAGACACTGGTTAAAGCATTAGTATAAGTGTGTTTTTCTCATTAGTCTTGGTCCTGGCTGTTGGCCTTGGGCACTGTATATTTGGACTGGAAGTATGGTTGCTTTTAATTAATTTGTTTATTCTTATTTTCTTTATTGAGGTGTAATTAACAAATAACTAGTGTCAGGTGTACAATATAATGATTCGATATTTGTATATATTATGAAATAAGTCTAGTTAACGTGTGTTACCATAGTTATAAAATTTTTTTTCTTGTTGTAAGAACTATTAAGATCTACTCTATTAGCAGATTTCAAACATGCAATTCAGTATTACTTACTGTAGTCACCATGGTGTATATTACATCCCTGAAACTCATTTTATAACTGCAAGTTTTTACCTTTAGATCCCCATCACTTACTTGGCCCACACCCCAGCCTGCCTCTGGCATCCACCAATCTATTCTCTGTATCTCTGAGCTCAAGTGGTGTTTTGCTTTGTTTTATTTTTTGATTCCACATATAAGTGAGATCATATGGAATTTATCTTTCTCTGACTTATTTCACTTAGCATAATGCCCTCAAGTTCCATCCATTGTTCCATGCACCTTGCCATTGTTGCAAATGGCAAGATAGCACTTTAACAGCTGAATAATAGTACATTGTATATACATAGACAATATTTTCTTTATCCATGCATCCATCAGTGGACACTTGGGTTGTTTTCATGTCATTGCTGCTGGTAAATAATGCTACAGTGAACATAGGGGATGTAGTTAACTATCTTTTTGAGTTAGTGTTTTCATTTTGGCAAATACCCAGTAGTGAGATTCCTAGATCACATAGTATTTCTATTTTTAATTTTTCGAGGAACCTCCATACTGTTTTCCACAGTGGCTGCACTAATTTACATTCCCACCAACACTGCACTAGAGTTCCTTTTTCTCCACATCCTGACCAACACTTGTTATTCCTTGTATTTTTGATAATAACTATTCCAAAAGATGTGAAGTGATACTTCATTGTGGTTTGATCTGCTCTGCATTTCCCTGATGATTAAGTGATGTTGTACACCTTTTCGTGTACCTGTCGCCATCTGTATATCTTCTTTAGAAAAATGTCTATTCATAAGTTCTGCCCATTTTTGAATCGGATTTTTTTTTTTTTTGCTATTGTATGAATTCTTTTTTTTTTTTTCCAAGACTATTTATTTGTGGGCAGCCCAGATGGCTTAGTGGTACAGCGCTGCCCTCAACCCAGGGCAGGATCCTAAAGACCCCGGATCGTGTCCCACGTTGGGCTCCCTGTGTGGAGCCTGCTTCTCCCTCTCCCTGTGTTTCTGTCTCTCTCTATGTATCTCTCATGAATAAATAAATAAAATCTAAAAAAAAAAAAAGACTTTATTTATTTGAGAGAGAGAGTGAGCAAGAGAGAAAAGGAGCAGAGGGACAGGCAGAGTGAGAGGGAGACTACGCACTCTGTAGGGACCCCAATGTGGGGCTCCATCAATCACAGGAATCCAGGATCATGACCTGAGCCCCGTTTAACAACTGAGCCACCCAGGCGCCCCAGAATTGTATGAATTCTTTATATATTTTGGATATTAACTCCTATCAGATACATGATTTGCAAATATATTCTCCTATTCAGTAGGTTGCCTTCTCATTCTGTTGATGGTTTCCTTTGCTCTACAGAAGCTTATTAGTTTGATGTAGTTCACTTACTTAGTTTCACTTTTGTTCTCTTTGCTTTTGGAGTCAGATACAAAAATTATCACCAAGACCATAGTTGAGGAACTTACCTTTGTTTTCTTCCAGGAGTTTAATAGTTCCAGGTCTTAATGTTCCAGTCTCTAATCCATTTTGAGTTTATTTTTTGCATATGTTGTTAAGATAGTGGTCCAGTTTCATTCTTTTACATGTGGCCATCCAGTTTTCCCAGTACCTCTAATTGAAGAGACTGTCCTTTCTCTTTGTATATTCTTGGCTCCTTGGTCATATATGTGTGGATTTATTTCTGGGTTCTCCATTCTGTCCTGTTGATCTGTGGGTCTGTTTTTATCCCAATGCTGTACTGTTTTGATTACAATAGGTTTGTAATGAGGTTTGAAATCAGAGAGTACGCTGACTCTAGCTTTGTTCTTCTTAAGATTGCTTTTGTGATTCAGGGTCTTTTGTGGTACCATACAAATTTTAAGATTGTTCATTCTATTTCTATTGCTTTTCTTTTCTTTTCTTTTCTGTTTTTAAGTTTCTGATGCTTTTCATTTAGAATGGTATCCTTCTCAGGCTACATGGGTCTGGTGGCATGGAGGGGCACACACTGAGTCCCAGTGGGAAGCAGAGGAGGGATCCACAAAAGAATGAAGAATTCATTACCCTGACTTTGGGCTCAGAATAAGAAGGTGATAACCTCATCTTTGCACAGGCCTGCATATGCATATATTATGTCATTTTTCTTCGTAGGGCTGTTTCTGATTGCCTGCCCTTTTTTTATATATAAATTTATTTTTTATTGGTGTTCAATTTGCCAACATATAGAATAACACCCAGTGCTCATCCCATCAAGTGCCCCCCTCAGTGCCCATCACCCAGTCATCCCCACCCCCCGCCCACCTCCCCCTCCACCACCCCTAGATCGTTTCCCAGAGTTAGGAGTCTCTCATGTTCTGTTTTCCTTTCTGATATTTCCCACTCATTTTTTCTCCTTTCCCCTTTATTCCCTTTCACTATTTTTTATATTCCCCAAATGAATGAGACCATATAATGTTTGTCCTTCTCCGTTTGACTTATTTCAGCATAATACCCTCCAGTTCCATCCACGTCGAAGCAAATGGTGGGTATTTGTCATTTCTAATGGCTGAGTAATATTCCATTGTATACATAAACCACATCTTCTTTATCCATTCATCTTTCAGTGGACACCGAGGCTCCTTCCACAGTTTGGCTATTGTGGGCATCGCTGCTAGAAACATCGGGGTGCAGGTATCCCGGCGTTTCATTGCATCTGTATCTTTGGGGTAAATCCCCAGCAGTGCAATTGCTGGGTCATAGGGCAGATCTATTTTTAACTCTTTGAGGAACCTCCACACAGTTTTCCAGAGTGGCTGCACCCTTTCACATTCCCACCAACAGTGCAGGAGGGTTCCTCTTTCTCCACATTCTCTCCAACATTTGCGGTTTCCTGCTTTGTTAATTTTCCCCATTTTCACTGGTGTGAGGTGGTATCTCATGGTGGTTTTGATTTGTATTTCCCTGAGGCAAGTGATGCGGAGCATTTTCTCATGTGCTTGTTGGGCATGTTTATGTCTTCCTCTGTGAGATTTCTGTTCATGTCTTTTGCCCATTTCATGGTTGGATTGTTTGTTTCTTTGCTGTTGAATTTAATAAGTTCATTATAGATCTTGGATACTAGCCCTTTATCTGATATGTCATTTGCAAATATCTTCTCCCATTCTGTAGGTTGTCTTTGAGTTTTGTTGATGGTATCTTTTGCTGTGCAAAAGCTTCTTATTTTGATGAAGTCCCAATAGTTCATTTTTGCTTTTGTTTCTCTTGCCTTCATGGATGTATCTTGCAAGAAGTTACTGTGGCCAAGTTCAAAAAGGGTGTTGCCTGTGTTCTCTAGGATTTTGATGGAATCTTGTCTCACATTAAGATCTTTCATCCATTTTGAGTTTATCTTTGTGTATGGTACAAGGGAGTGGTCTAGTTTCATTCTTCTGCATGTGGATGTCCAGTTTTCCCAGCACCATTTATTGAAGAGACTATCTTTTTTCCAGTGGATAGTCTTTCCTCCTTTGTCAAATATTAGTTGACCATAAAGTTGAGGG